AGGGGGAAGGAGAGGCTCTATGGGTGGAGAGGGGAGCGCTGCGGGGCAGGTGCCCGAGGGCAGGGTCTGAGGGGAGAGAGGAGCGCTGCGGGGTGGGTTACAGGGGAAAGGGTCTGGGAGGAGAGGGGAGTGTTGCCTGTGGGGCGGGTGCCCGAGGGCGGGCAGGCTGTGGAGGGGGCAGGACCGGCGTGTTGGGCCCCGCGGTGTCCATGGTGACTGCAGCCACCGGCCAGTGCTGGGTCTCGAGGTGCGGGGCCAGCCGGCATGTACAACCGGGCTCCGCGGGCGCTGACTCGGCCCGCGGGCGGCACTGTGGCGTATGTGGGGCCTGGCTCCTACCAGCTGCAGCCCGGGAAACAGCAGAAAGCAGGTAACAGCTGGGAGCGCCCAGATTCACCCCCGGGTTCCCCCCACGTCCCTGGCCGCCCCACTGGAGCCGCAAGTGGAACCCGCTCCCTGCACAGCATCCTCCGAGCCCCTCAAGGCAAACCCTGCCCTGGCCCGGCCATGGATCACCTCTGTAAAGGGAATATGAAAAGAATTTGGGGGCACCGCTTTTTGGCACCCCCAAATCTTGGCACCCTAGGCAGCCGCCTAGTTTGCCTAGTGGTTGCACCGACTGTGGCTATACTGCTCAGGGCTGTGAAATGTTTCAAGCCATGTGCAATGTAGTTAGGTTGACCGAACCCACTCTACAGATGCGGCTAGATGGATAGAAAAATTATTCCGTCAACCTAACTACCACCTCTCAGTGAGCTGGCTTATCTACACATTGACCAAAAAATCCCTTCCGTTGATGTACAAAACGTCTACACCATAGCTGTGCTGTACTGCAGACATACCCTTACAGGAAGAGCCAGCAGCTCCTACATAAGAAGCACCATCTGAGACTAACTGAGAAGACTTATCAGCTAAGGCCCTGATCCTGAGTAGTCTCACTGAAATCAAACTGAATTACCCATTTATGTGCTTACCTTCACTACCAGGAGTAGCTCAATGGGACTACTCCTGGTAATAAAGTTAAGCATAATAAGCCTTTGCAGGATAAGGATCTGAATTAGCAAAATAAAATGGAACACAGGAACTGACATACTGAATCAGACCAGTATCATGTCTCCAATAACAGCCAGTATCAGATGTTTTAAAGAAACGACACAGTAGGAAGTTATGGAATAACCTATCCGCATTTTATTCTAAACCCCACCTGTGAGAGTTAGATTTCTGTCCAAAAGCAGGAGGGATTATACCCCTTCCAAATATTTTTGCCTATTTTAATCCTTACTGCTGTAATGCTATATGTCTGTGTTATCCATATGAATGTCCAATTCTTTTTTGAATCCTGTTACACGCTTGACCACAATGGTATCTTATGGCAATGAGCTATATGGGTAATTATTTGTTACAGAAGCTCCCTGACTCCCTGTCGAATTTTGCGTAAGTCAGGAACATATCTCCGACAATTACGCAAAAAAAAAAAAAAAAAAAAAAAGGAGGGGGGGGGGGGATTATTTAATAATTTGTGTTTTTTTTTTTTTTTTTTTTTTTTTTTCTCTTTACTCTTCTTTT